CACATATTTAACAAATCCTTGATTACTTAATGGAATTCAGAGCCATTTTTTCCCTACTGTGTCGGGAATGATAGCTCCTAAATTATGCACTTACCCAATCCTCTGCATTTTAAACAAAACTTCATAATTAAGCATCTTCCTGATATTCAACAGCTCCTCTAGTAAGGAATATTTTCATCAAATCCATAATTAGAGACTTATAAACACATATCCATATAAATAATTTGGATGAAAAGTCTCACAAAGACTTTAAAAGAAGAGAAATCTTCTTCACACAACTCCTGCTTAAAGTCCAAATTTGTTAAGGAGATTATTCTTTCTTTCCAGGGATGCCCTATTTGAAAAGACAAGCCATGATGGAAGACAGCTGTGCATGGCTGGAAGGGTGTGAGCTTTCTACCAGCCTGTAATAGCACCATAAGTGTCTTATGATTGGAATTTGTGGTGAGGAGGAGAAAGAAGGGAGAGAACAAGATTAGTAATTAACTTCCAAATACTGCCAAAATGAAGCTGAGGAGAGGATATAACATGCACATACACACTCCTGCTACTGTCTTAGGAAAGTAAATGTAGAAACAAGTAGCTCAGGTCTTACTAAAAACCATGCTGTTGTGTATACATGTCTGCCTGTTTTCAATTTTAATAGTGGTATTTAATTATACTTTCTCCAGCTTGTAGTAATTTTTTAATGCTTTATATTGGAAGTGTGCTTTACTTTTTTAGGACATAATTAATAGTAAATTGCTTTAACAAAAAAGTAGAATCTAAATTTCATGTCATAAAAAGTGTGTACTAAGTGATTGTCTCCTGCCTGAAGACAAATAAGGATGAAAATTATTTATTAAGAGATTTCATGTTTAACTATGGAGAAAGAAAGAGTTATAAAACTCATTTAGAAGTTAAAGTTCTGAGAAAAGGACTTGCTGAAGACAAAAGCTACACTGACTTGAAATGAACCTCAGCATTTATGTTAATGAAGCCTGCAGGAGTTTCGGCATCACCCTCTGATGCCTTCTGTCTAATTCCCTTCATCAGGAGATAGGTGCCTATATGCCCTGGGGACCTGAGTGTCAGCAATTTGTACAATCAGACCTTCCTTCTGAATCTTTGAATCTTATGAGGGCTGTATCACAGTAGCATTTATGCATGTAAGTTTCTATTGATATCAGTACAGTTGGGAAAAGCTTTAAATAGGCTACATTGTGTATGTATATGTCTAACTAAGCCAATCACACTGGGCTCCTGTGATGAGAAGATGGGCCCTTCCAGTGCACCTCATACGAAAATTCACATAAAAAACTGTTGAGTTTATCACATTCTGAGTTCACCTGGAAGTAAGTGAGAGACCTTCCTTGTAGGTTGTTGCTTAACTTGCTTTAGTGATCAGGATTGTTCAGAAGGAGCAACTATAGAAAGAACTAAATACCTTCACTTAGATTTATGGGGATTTTTCTCATTGTTTTCTCAGAGTAAAAAAGTCATCTCGTACCTGGGTTTTGTTTGACATCAATTTTTATTGCCTTCTTTAGTTATTATTTTGTCTTCCAAACAGCAACATTTAACTCATATTTTCAGCATTTACCAAAGAAAAATATAGGGTTAAAATTGAAAACCACTTTGTGAAAAGAGGAAAATTGTAATACTAAGCTTGCTAGTGTGAAATGCAAATGTATTTTTCTTCCCTTGGTATGTTTATTCCAGCAGTGATATCAGCATACCATTCACTGGCACAAATCAGTATGCCTCTTTCTCAACAGTATGTATATATTCTTTCTCTATGTATAGATACACAGAAAAGAAGTAGACGCAAAAATCTGAGACAAGTGGATTTATTTTCAGTTTTTCATTACACTACTGCTCTTTTTCCCAGCTTGAACAGTTGACAATCTACTGTGAACGACAGAAGTAGAAGCATATTCTGCATAATAGAAATCTAAATGAAAAAGTACCTAAAACAACATACACTTTGCCAGTCAAGACATCTGGAAGTTTGCAGGACACAAAGATAAAATTTGCAGGTATCAAGAATTTCCAACAAAGCAACAAATATATTCCTTCTTTCAACACTTGTACTATGTAAGCACTTAAAAAAAGACATTTATTTTTCCTGATCTCATTCTTCATGTGATCCAGTTTGTGATTATCTCCCATTTCTGTTCTCATTAATTGTATTTATAATTATTTTTTTAAAGTATTCTTATTTCTTTCTAGCATATTAACATATACTTCTGCTTGATTTTCAGCTGCTATAATTTTCTCAGTTGTGTCTATGCTAAGCAAAACTATATTTCATGTTCTACTGTATTAACAGAGTTTGCAAACATTGTTCCTGTACACATCTTTTCTAGGGTGGTAGTTCACTAGTGCAGTCTTTGGAAACCCTGACAGTCAGCAGACAGCTTCCAAGAATCATAGAGAGGAAGTTCTTCTATGATAGCAGAATTCCCAAACTCCCTGACCACCATAGATAGATAAAACAAAGTGACATCAATAACCATAGTTTCTCTATTTTCTGGTGACAGTGACAATTCAGGGGTCTTCTAGTTTATAATGTGAAGTGCTGAAGAAAATTAGGTTTCTTTGCTGTTGGTAGCACTGGTTCCACCTCAAGCATTCCCTTCCTCTCGTGAGGATTTGAAGGATCCTAGCCAGTTTTACTTCAAACTTTTTGCCTTAGCTGCTCACTCCTGTTGGTCATGTCATTAATACTGATGATCTTTCATTTCTCCATCAAATGCCAGAGAAAATTCCAGAATTGAGAAAAAAAAGGTTGTTTGCTATTGTCAAAACTAATATTACAGTACCAAGTTTAGAATTTGGACTAGAACTGATAAAGCTAATAAAACCTGTCTGTTCTTCTGGTTCTGCCCTACAGCCTGCTTTTTTGTTCTTCTGCTAACATTGAGGTTAGGGTATTAAATTAGACTAATTTCTTGCAGTTGACAAGGTTGCACCACAATTAGAATGAACTTAGCCAAGCAGGAAATGCTACCCTAGGCAGCTGTTGGCAAAGACAAGGTCAGTGAAACAGAGAACAGAGAGGAAATTCATATGAACAACATTAAAATTAAATGGTGATAAGATGTTTGAATTGTCTAGAATGAAGACTTTGTGATCTTTTAACAGCATTTTCTAAAGGCCATCACTAGAGATATAATTAAATGTAGCTAATGCAAGTGCAGGTAGTCCAGTTGTAAAATCAAAAAAAGCTGATTGTGACTGGAAGTAATTTTTTTGGGTTTTTTTTGGTCAATGTCAATTCTACTATATTTTGAGAATTGAGAACAGATATTTTTAAGAGGTATTTCAGCAGTACCAATTACAAAAAAAGGAGACTTTGCTACTATTATTAGAAGAGGTCATTTGCTTGACTCTCTGGAGTAGCCAGACATGGTGGACTTTTCTCTAGGGCTGATTCAGAAGAGGTGGGAATGGAACACCAGTTCTCTTGGTGTAGGCAGTATGGCACTTATTTTCCTCTAGTTCAAGAATACACTGTGGTTTTAGCTTAATGACAATCACCTTGTGATGTACCCCAATAATGAAACCACTTCAAAATCATCATCTTCATTTCCAGGGTGATTATTTGCCCTTTAATTATGTGACCTGTTACTAAAGTGCTTTATTGGCATTACACATTCCATCGTGCTTACCTAAAAGGCTGTCCAATTTATTAACAGTGTTAATGGAAAAAAGATTCCTAAGTAATTGCAAAATGCTCTTAACTATTTTATCTTAGTGCTGTTTAATGTAGCATTCACCCTAGTATTTTGTAAAGCTGATTTAATGTTGTTTTTGATAATGATATAGCTAGAAAGTAGATCTATCACTTTTGTTTTTTAAATGAGATTGAAAATATTCATGCATTTTGAATCTTTTGCATCATGTGCTCTGCTTGACCTTCATTTGAAAAAGGACATCACCTCTCTGGAGAATGTTGTTATTTCTACAGCATGCCACGAGATGTCAGTGTTTCAGAATATTACTTTGGTCACAATCTGCTATTGAAAGCCCCATTCTGTGCTCTGTATTGTTTAAAGTTGAATGGTTGCAGTAATTTTTGATATTTTTGGATTAATAATATAAACTGATTGAATCACTCCCAACTAGAAATGGAAAACAAATAATTAAAAAGAAAAAGAGAGAGAAACATATAAGTGTCCCCCTGAAACCACACTTTTATTCCTTTCTTAAAAAATGGTACCTTGAGCAAATCTTTGTGGGTTTGGTCTGTAGTGGGTACTTAATCACTCTTGGAGTTTTGACTTATTGGGTTTTCTGAATTAGAAATGGCACTACAGTTCCTGGGTTTAGTGAGAGCCAGTAGCTAAGTCAAGCCCAGGTCTGATACTGCATAGCTTGAGAAAAAAAAGACTGATCATCTGGAGGTTTAAAGCTGGGAAATTTACTTCCTTAAATTGAAAAACCATAGTAGTTAGCAGCACAATGCTGCAACTGTCTGAATGTAAAAGTTTAATGTCAATGGGGGCAGGGGAGAGGGAGTGAAAGGGCAGTGGGTGAACAGGTGGCAATATGATCTTTCTAAGGTCTCGGTTAAAATTCAAATTCATATCTTTTGCAGCAAAATGGTATTAAGTATTTTTCCCTCAGGCTTTAGTAACTTCTCTCTGCAGCTCTAAATTAGTTTCCTGAAGGTGAAAATACACAATGAAATGTTCCATTTTGAGAGTAATTTCTCAGGTAGGTATACTACTAATAAGTAGATAAAGCTGTCACACAAGCTGCAGTAAAGAACTGGGAACATTGACTCTAAGATATGCTATTATTAGACCTGAGGCACATTTTTTTTAAATGGGAATATAAAATTCTTATCGTCCTCTAGCAAGTGTAGTACATAAAAACAAATTAATATATATGGTATATGATATACATGGAATGCATCATACAGTATTTATGGAAAAAATAATGAAAAATCAGACAATATTGCCAAACGATTCAAATGTGAGCCTGATAAACCAAAAGCATTAAAAGCAATTTACATTTCATATTCTGGAAATAAAAGAAGTATATTCAGTTAGAGCTAGCTCTGGTAGCATCACCAAGGCAAAGACGCATTGACTTTTTACAGGTTACTTTTTAATGTCCATCATTTGGTGTATATTCTCTCCCACTGCTAAAAAGAGCAAAACCTTTTTCAAAAAAGAAAAGGAAAAAAGAAAAAATTTTCTTTCTGGTAATGATGTAAGGACTCCAGGTCATGAGTCTAATGCCCTATTTTTTTGCACCATTTAGTCTTACAAAATAACTACCTCTGTCTTCTGCACAAATATTCTCATCTGCAGTTCTTCCTTAACACTATGCTTCCTCAGCATGGATTTTTTTTATAGCAGGACAGTACTTGCCAAAATTGTGCAGGTGCTCACCCAGTCACTGGCCCACAGCAAGTGAGGTGTGTTTTCTTGCTGCTCACCAGGGTCTCACCTGCATTTTCTACATGCATCTCCTGGCTTTTGAGTCCATAATTTCACTTTCTTCCTTCTGAAATGATAAGTCAATTGTGAAAAAACGGGGAAGGAAAGGGAATAATGAAAATATAACTTCTTCCATGTGCACATACTCTAATTTCAAAATATCTGCTTATTTTATGTATCTGTCTCTTCAAGTAACTGTTGTCAGGAAAAAAATGCTTCAAATTACCCTCTCTATATATTTCTTTATTAAAAAAAAAATCACTAACTAAGATGTCATGAAAGGCAACAGAATTTATCTATATTCCACTCTCACAGAAAAAAAAAACGTAATAAGTAGTTCAGCAGACTTTGAAGCATCCAAAAGTGCTGTGGTGATTGTTAATCAGCTTGGTTTATCTGCAGAAGAAGTGTACTTCAGCTTAGAAAGGAATATATGAATAATTCACCTTGTCTGCTCCTTACTGCTATCTGCTGTTGATCTAACGTGCAAAAGGAAATCGAGCTGAGATAGCCACTGTTGTTTGGATTTGTATCAAATATTTTCTTATTCAAATGCTATTAAAAAAGATTTTGAGGTGCCTAAGTTTATTCTCTGGAGCAAGTTTCCTACTTCCACTGCTCACTAACAGCTGAGGGTTTTCATGCTCCGTGTTTTCAGTTATAATAGTCAATACAACTTAGTACAAAATTGTAATGTCATGGATGGCTGTACAATTTCACTGTTTCAATCAACAACAGGAAGCTATTGAACTCGAGGAAAAACATGACTTTCACAAAGGCACTGCTAATATTGCAACAGGAGAGTAATAAGGAAACAAGCAATTTCAACATGCACCACTGACTTACATACAGATACCCGTATGTACCTTTAAAACACTATGCATTTCCTATACTGGAATGGTTCTTTCAAGGATTTTGGATAATTTTTATCAGGTGCCTCTTGATTTGCTGGGAATTGTTTACTGTAGAAGAAAAAAATTTGAAATACCTGAAAATAAGCAGAATTACTTCTTTTTCCTTTTTTTTCTTTCTTTGTTTTTCCCTTTTTTTTTTCCCTGTATTGATATGATTGGATTCCCTGTGGCAGAAAAGGGTTGTTCTTCAAACATACAAATTCCCGTGGAGCCCTAAGCAATCAGTGTTCAGTGAAGTGCTTCTGCCCTAAAGCTCAGAGGGAGAAGTTACGTAGGCTTGAAACAGTCTTACATTGTTGGCCTCTTTTTGAGGAGCACCATATACAATAAGAGCCCTCGTGTGACCTCTGTGGTATCTGTGACACATCAGTATGTCATAGCTGCATGTCCTGGGGCTGTAAAGTGTCACTGGTGTGCACTGGGTCCTACCTTCGCACACAGCTTACATGTATTTGGAAATTTTGAAGAATGACCCTTAACCTGAAGTGCTGTACTCCAATGTGCTATTTTAAGAATGTTTTCCAATAAACAAATAACACTCTTCACCTGGAGGCATTAGGCTGTAGATGTTCTGCTAAGTAGAGCAGCTGAAAGAAAGTCTGTGACTTACAAATTAAGTGTTAACATTGAATATTCATGATAGCAAACCTTAATGGCTCCTTCCCATGAGATCTGCTCGCTGAACCTCAGCACTTAGGCTGTGACCCTGACTTGTGTTCAGCTTAATGATAGTCTACAGAAGAAGCACAGGCTCAGAAGCAGGACTTAAAGGATTTTTTCAACTTTATCCCTATGCTAGCTACTTGTAGCTTCCATCTGCTGCCTACACTCATCCATTTGAAGGCAAAGCTGTGACCATATTCCATGCAGGAATTCAAAGTGTCCTGTCCTGCCCCTACTGTGCTATCATTACTACTGTAATGGCCAAGCTATAAATATATATAAAATGTGAGTTTGCAATCTTGTGGTATTTCAATAAATTTTCCCTTCCCTAAAATCTTGGATAATTGTCCTGCAATATCTATTCCTGATGTGAAGTACCTTTATCTTTGGTTTTGAGACCGACATTCACAATCACCCACTTCTGAGAAGTACAGAGAGTATCAGTTTCCTTCTTCAAGGCATTGCAAACTGTACCTTGCCACTCAGACTAGATGATTCAAATCAATATCAGGCCACTAGCCCTGCCTCCACATCCTAAATGATAACAGTTAAACACTTTCCTGTGTTGACTGAAAATAGGAAAAATATTGAAATACACCCTAGGCAAATGCTAGTATCCCTGAATTTTGGCTTATTGTGTCTCTCCTTCATTTAAGAGCCAATCTACCTATTTCTTTTGGTTTTGCCAGGCAAAGCTGAGATCCTCCTTATTATGTCCTTAATTTGGTTCCCCTTGCCTTTGCACTGTGAAGTGTAAAAAATACTTTATAAGAAATCTTTCTTCATATTTTTCCCATAGAGTGGATGAATGTAGGGAGTAGAAGCAAACCTCACTGGCATATTTAACGACAATCCATATTAAGAAATGCATATAATGAAAGTTCAGTACTCTCAAATATATAATAGTTTTAAGCAATAAAATAAATCTGGTATCTTTCTCAGCTTTCAGTGAGCTTGCAAAGTATTCCTGTTACCAGGGTTCATTACCATATAAAACCTTTCATTATAAGTAAGTTTAAGAACCTACTATCCTTTCCATCACAACTCTGCAAAGTTTTAAAACTCAGCTATAAAATTTCAGAAGTAGACAAGCTGGTTCACAAGGTCACAGATAGCAAGCATCCTTTTTCTATATTTTTAGGGAAAATAATTTATGCACTTTTAAAAGCACCAAGGTTGGCCTTTCTGCTGCTGAAATCTGTTTTTAATGCTGACACAGAGTTACAGCTTAGAGCAATGTGGAATGAAAATGCAGACCACAATGAGAACAAGAAGAAAGATAGTCTATTCTTTTGAAATAGGAGCTCATATTCCCAAACTATTACTCTAGTTAGTGGGTTTGTCGCTGCTGCTGTTAATTGAGGCCAATATTGTGAGGATTATTTAATGCTTTGGGAGCAGAAGCTATAAGTACTTTTGACAAATATTTGACATCATAAATTAGATCCTCTGTATACAAAAGAAGAATTGTACTTAGTTTTTTGTTGTAGTTAAACTACTTTTAGAATCATAGAATCATCAATGTTGGAAAAGACCTACAAGATCATCCAGTCCAACTGTCCACCCAGCATTAACCCTTTAACCTCTGAACCACTAAATCATATCACCCAATGCCAGATCCAGATGCCTCTTGAACACCTCCAGGGATGGTGACTCCACCACCTCCCTGGGCAACCTATTCCTATGCCTGATCACTCTAACAATGAAAATTTTTTATAATATCTAAACTGAAATTTCTCTGTCTCAGCTTAAGGCCATTTCCTCTTATCTTCTCACCGCAGGCATAGCAGAAGAGATTGGCCCCACCTCACTACAACCTCCTTTCAGGTAGTTTTAGAGAGGGATGAGTTCCCACCTGAGCATCCTCTTGTCTAGGACAAACAAACCCAGCTCCCTCAGCCATTCCTCATAAGAAGTTTTCTAGACCCTTCATGAGCCTGTTGCCCTTTTCTGAACAGCTGATTTCTATCAGTCTTTATTGAGTATGAGCTTGACAATATACCTGGAAGAAATAACTGAAATCTAACTGATGTTTTACCATTGATGTCAATAGATGTTCATCAGCTTAGAAGTGTGCAATGTGAAAAAACAAAGAATCACAGAATCAAAGAATAGGAGGGGACCCACAGGGATCACCAAGTCCAACTTCTGGACCCGCACAGGACTATCCCCAAGAGTCACACCATGTGCCCGAGAGTACCATCCAAATACTTATTGAACTCTGTCAGGCTTGGTGCTGCTCCCTGGGGAGCCGTTCCAGCATCCAGTCACCCTCTGGGTGAAGAACCTGACATTCAACCTAAACCCCCTCTGACACAGCTTTAGGCCATTCCCTCAGGTCAACACTGGGTGTTTTCAGCATCCACAGACAATGGGTTTCTTCATTCATCTTGGTGAAGCTGCTCCATTTACACTAGGAAGCTTCTGGACTGGAGCTATAGCCTGGTCAGGATGCTGTGCATAAGTGATGCACATCTACTCTCTTCGCTTTTCCACACAGATGTTCCCAAAAAGCCTCCAAAGTAGGTTACTGGCCTTTTTAAAATAACCTTGTAATATTGCTTTATCATTTTGCTGCAGTAATTCCTAGAAGGCTCCAACATACTTTGCCTTTCCAAAAGGATAAGGGTACACTACAGGCTGTGGGAAACTGTAGTGTACTAATCATGTAGACTAGGATGGAGGGAGGTAGTGAAGACAGCAGTCATGTCAGATAGCATTAATAAGCACTTAGGAGAGTTGAGCTTTGAAGTCAGCTTTGAAAGAGTTGGCTATTGATCGGGCAAATCAGTGAAGGGATTAAGGAAGGGGCAGCATGAAGCTCAGGTGTTGTATCTCCTCAATACCAGTGTACTTAACTCTAGTAAATAATTGCATGATGTCTTACAATCCATATGTTTTACCATGAAAAGCTGTGATCAGATACACTTTGCTTAATCTTTTTAAATAGCTGTCAGTCAGAAAACTAAACTCATTTGGATTAGTAAATAA